GCACGTGCTGCTAAGAATCTCTCTGCAGGGCTCTGCAGGAAGAGGATGTTTTAGACAGTGCCAATGCAAACTTCTCTTCTTTGCTTGTTGTCTATTTACCACGCAAGCTTTGCATACATAAGAACACCAGTCTTTACATGCAGATTTCATGCAAATAAAGTCCAAGTATTGAACAGCTGGACATTGTGGGAGAGAAGGAAGAGGAAGACATTGAGAGAACAAAGGCGTTTGTTTGATAGTCTGTTTGCTGGTTGGCTTCACTGAGTTGGTACTTCGCTGACCACCGAGGCATGACTCAACCGCGAGGCCGACATTTAACAGATCAGACAAAGGAGGTGATGTGAGAATGAGCAAGAGTTGGATAATCAGAAAGAGATAGGACCAGTTGTTTGTAAACAGGGATGAAATTTTAGGTTCGGTGCAGGGAGGAGGTGAGAGCGAAGAGTCAAAGAAATCTAACAAAACCTTTCTCACTTTGTGCGCACAGTGTAGGTGTAAAGAATAGCACATATTCACAGCACTCCTCTCTGCCAGTGCTCTCACATCACATTCTGTTGCAGATGTTGATTCATATATGCCAGATGCACAGCATGAGTCTCAGGATGTGGTTTCGGCTGATTGTCCACAGCAGATCTGGCTGCATGGAGTGACAATATAAGTGGAGGTGTTTGATAACCTCAGAGACTGTGTGCATCTTTGTGTAGGGTGAGAGAGAGAGACAGACAGAGAGAGAGAGAGCTACAAACTGGTTAATGGCTGGGATTCTTTTGTGTGTCAACACTTTATGAATATAACTTCACAGCTAAGCAGGGCCGTTTTTGAATGTGTGGATAGATGGGGCCTGCAGGACTGCCTGAGTCAGTTAAATTGAGCATGAGGACATTACTAGAGAGAGGTCACAGAGGAAACACTGTGTGCACACAAACACACACAGATGTTTGGGATGCCGGTAACCCCCTGGTGTCGCGCCAGACGGATGTCATTCCCTCTCTGACCTTATTTTTGCTTCACTTGACGTGCCTTCATGATGTCAGAGCTGCTAAGCAGAAACATAAATAAAGGGCGGCGACCACAGTACCCGCATGGAACAAATTAGACCGACAAGTTCCTGTGTGCAGCGTACCCACGGCGCAGTGCATATTTCTACTCATGTGTAAGTGACAGGCTCTGAGAAAGCGAAGACTGTTTAACAGAGAAAGAAATAGATGGGGGAGTGAGGACAAGAGGGTTTATGGACAACATTTACGAGCATATTCATACTTTTAATAGCCCAGTTTTGTTAAACAGGAACCCAGAGTTACTGATCTGGACATAAAACAAAACACGTCCAAGTGGAGCTTTTTTCCTGCTGCTTCATACCATGATTTTAAGATCACAGTGCTTCCTTTTATGTTGATATTTACAATCCTTCTGTAAACTTCCCCCTGAGACATAGTTTGTTACATCCCGCCAAAATATTTCCCCTTCAGAGAGCAGATATACAACAGCTGACGGCCACCAACAATGCAACACACATCTTGAACTCCTTTTGAAGTGATTCAGGGTTGTATTTTTATTTTTATTTTTATTTTTTATTTTTTTAGGGCACAAACATTGGAGATGTCAAAAGCCACTGGGACCAGACAGGAAATTACTTGTTACATCCAGATGGTTGATTCCATTATGTGGAGATGGAGAATAGTTTATGCATAATATTTGCATGTATTTGTTTGTGAAAGCAGTTGGGTGTGTTTGTGTATGGATGTTCAGGTCTGTGCACCCAACAGGCCTCTGCTGTTACTCTTATTCCTTCCTGGAATAAGTCCTAATGTAGTTTGTTATAGCTGGACAAATTAAATATGCTGACAGGGGATCTGGTAAGAGACTGGCGAGTTGTGTGGATGTTTTCATCTCCACTAACTTTCCCACACCCTTACACAGTGAAGGATGACATTTAAGATTTTAGTAGTCATGATGAATACACTATATTTGACAAATCGAGGCCTCTAACACCATCTTCACTTACTGTCAGGAACATCTGATCATCATCTGGGATGAATAACAGGATAAAAAAAAAAAATGTTTCTGCAACACAATAGTTTTATCACTCTAGTTTGCGCTAATCCTCGCCTTTTTTAATTGAATTACTGAATAATATTTATGACAAGTCTCCATAAATAGATATAAAGTGGTAAAAAAGCCAAAAAGGAAAGGAACCACTGATCTATTGCGATGCTCTGTTCATATGCCCATAGAGCTGAGCACTTGCAACCTCATCCAACCCTAAAACAAAAGGGAGTTGACGGGCCTGAAGCAGCAAATGAGGTCAGTCATCGGCTGGCAGCAACTTAGTTGTGATGATGTCAAAGTGATGATTTAAAAAAAGGACACAGGAGACAGAGAAAGAGCTGAAAGTGACGGCAGGAGACACGACTTATAAAAAGCAGGAAGGGGAAGATGAGGATTGGGGAGAAAATGAAAAATAAATAGGTTTAGAGGAATGAAAAGGAAAGCAAACAGGACACGGAGAGAAAAAGGAGCAACTGCATTATTTGTGGTTGTCTCAGCATTGTGTAGAAGTTGAATGCCTGGGTGGAGTGCTGATGTTTGGTACAATTATTTGACATGGCGTTGACCCTTCACAGGAAATCTACGCCATTTGGTGGATGCTTTCATCCACAAACGCCTTACAGTAGCACAAGTGCATTCATTTTTAGCATGGTGGGCCCCGTGGGGAGTGACCTTCTCTGCTCACTGTACTGTTCTGCTTTTTGGCAGACGTCATGTTTTTATTAAAAGAGATTAAAATATTGGACCACACAGCAACGCAGCAGAGCGCGCTGAGGTTTCGTTGTGGAGCATAACTTTACATATTAACTGTTTTCAGAGAACAACTAGTGCTTAAATAAGGAAGTGTGCCTGTTTATAGCTTGTTTGGTCTACAGTAATGTTGATGAGGAGCAGGTGCTGGGAGTTAATGATTCTCCTGGGGATATTTTGACTTCAGTTATTAATACATTCATGCTTCGTTTTGTCCGTGGTGATATCACTACCAGTCTGTGTGTTTGAGCTGTGGTGACGAAGGGTCCTTTATCCAAAAAAAAAAAAACCCGAGCTGAAGTTATAGTAAGGGTTCCTTCAAGACTTTTTTGTGGATCATAAAAGTAGGGAATGGATTAAAAAGTGTGTTTGTCTGCTCTTACATAAGCTGTTTAGCATGCCTGGCTAAGTAGCTTAGCTTACTACCTATATTAGTAAACTAGCATTACTTCCAAAGCCACAGAGCACTTAACTGCATTAACTACAATATAAGTTTACTCACGTTATATTGTTAAAAAAGAAACCTTTGTGTGCAAGACCTTGGATGATATCAGAGTTCATGCTAACGTTAGCAGCTCTGTCCTTTCTTTATTGGATTTGGGAAAGTTTAGACTCCAGCAACTCCAGCCAAACTCGTTATATAAATATGAATTATCAATGGTGGTAGTCAGTTGTCTCAGGTCAATTAGGCTCTACTTTTAATTGCCCTTTTGTAGAAGGAAGTTCCATATTGTGAATTTGACACATGAGGAAGGTCAAAGACCAAAACAGTCTCTATAATGTCAGTCTTTGAAGTGCTGATAGTGTGCAGGAATTCAACTATTTCATTTGTGTTTACAGTATAAAGTGTTGTGCATCTGTCTGTCCATATATTTAGGCAAAACAAAAAAAGACATAATGCAAAAAAATAGGAATTTGAGATAAACACAATAAAGTGTGTGTATTTATTTATTTTTTCACTTTGCAATAGATGCCAAATTGAAACAAAAAGAAGAAAAAAGCTTACATTTAAGTTCAGGAGACATTTGTAGCACAGTGCACATAACTAAAATGGTTGCAATGAAGTTCACCTGTGATGCAGTAGCTTCACCTTAACTGTTGATATCATGATAAGTAATAAACAAGGCCTGTATAATGTATTGACTAATTGAAGTCTAAATGTCATATAATATTACAAAGGCAGCACCCTGTGTTTAAGAATAATTTTGAGATAAGTTTCAAACAGCAGCGGGGGGAAGGATGAGGCAGTAATTCAGGAGGATTGATGGGGAAACTGCTAAAGCTTTCACTCAGAGGCTCCAGCATGACGTGGTGCTTCTCACATTCCTGGGTTATTACTTAAAGATGTCTGCTTGTCATTGCTTCTCCTGCTCTCATGCTCTCAATGTTGCCTCTCACATCAGGCGAGCCGCTCACAGCCAATTTCCACTGAACTGAGCGGTTAAAGGAAATCCCTGTCAGTTCATTAGAGCAGTCTTCGCATATTAAGAAAAAAATAAAAACTGAGACGAACATGACGCAGGGTGCAGCAAGCTGGAATGGATGGAAAACAGTGACATAACTTGTGTTTAATCCAATCAGTATTAGAGAGGAAAAGGCAGAGGGGATTTTAACATGGTTTAGATGGGAAATGTGGAGGTGGTCAAATGTAAAAGGCAAGTTTGAGACAGGATAAATTGGATTAATGGATAGCTGCACAGGAAGTTTGTTTTACAGATCTAAAGAGATGATCTGGATGTAAATGATTTTTGTTCATGATGGTGTTACGTTGCTGCAGGAAGCTGATGCATGATTATTCAGAGAGATGGAATCCAGTCTGGCAAAGTCCCGGATTCTGATGGGAACTGAGCCGGTCAGAATAGGCTTTCTGTCTGTGTGGACACACACACACACACACACACACTCACACACTAAACACACACTGTTCCACTTTCAGAAAAACTACTGAGGAAGAAAGTCAGTAGAGAGAGGAGAGATTTACGAAGGAAGTGAGACGTAATCTATGAATTATATATACACACTGAGACTATGATTTCATTCAGGGGAGAGGCCACACACAACCCCCCCACCCCCACCTTGTTTTCCCACTTCTTTTAGCCTATAGGCTTTGGTTTGCTCCTCACTAGTGAGAGTAAACTGAAAGCTTAATGAAGCACTTTCATCACACCATTTTCACCTCTTGTGTTTCTTTGTTGCTACAGGTGGAGGAGGAAAGCGGAAAGGGAGGAGTAAAAAATGGAAGGAGATCCTTCGCTTCCCCCATATAAGCCAGTGCACTGAGCTCGGAAACAGCATCGGTATGTGTTTGTGTGTGCTCACCTGCATCTGAAGTGTGTACGTTTGTCCGCTGGCTGTGTTTTAAAGCATGTGTTCCCTTTTTCCCTTGTTGCAGAGAGGGACTATGTCTGCATCTGTGAGAAACAGCCCATTGGACGGCTTCTCTTCCGTCTTTACTGTGAGACCAGACCCAAACTGCAACGATGCATCCAGCTACTGGACGCAATGGTACACACATGCACGCACATCCACTGAGTGGGTGTCTTTTTACCAGAAGTTTGCCATTAGGAATCCCAGAGTATCCCCAAGAAAATTTTGGGAAAGGCAACAATCAATCATCTTTTTCCCTTTAGTAATCACAAAGTATTTATGAACAGAGCTTTTAACTCTTAATTGACCAATCATAGCTTAGTAACAAGGAACAGCAAGTTTGTTGGTTTTCAATAAGAGAGATACTTGATATTTCAAGCATGGTGGTAGAGCAATGTGTAAGGAATGGATTAAACAGTGACTAATGGTCAAGCCATTACCTAAATACGTTATTTTGTGGTGTTACATTTGAAAAATAACATCCACCCAACCCGAGGAACATCAACCCTCTGGCTGCCAAAATGGTATTAGCCTATATCATAGTGTAGATAAGTAACAGTGGCTCTGCCCTACTTCTTATTTGGTTTGGGGAAGTTTAGACTTCCACTCCAGTAAAACTTGCATCAGACAGTGCTACATTTGCCAAAGTAACACAATCTAATATGTTAGTGTTACCGTTACCATTTGGCAAAGTCATCGGTAATCCTCATCATCAAATAAAGTGAAGTATGCTTCACTTTCCTCTACGATATTATTATCAACTCTATTGTGTTGAAGCATACTGCTTGAAAATACAAACACCAAAGCATAAGTCCAAAGCATTAGTCTTCGACATGGATTATCAGCATGTGATGTTGACCTTCTGTCTGGGACATGTAGCATTAGCCTAAGTTTGTTTTTGTTTTTTTGAATTATACAAACATACAGTATATAGTGACCATGTGCATATATATTTCACATGACACTCATCCTAATGTGAATCATCTGGTAACATTAAAAAAGTTTTTCAACCAACTCGCAAAAGTTTAGTGTTAATGTTAGCTTAAGCTAGCTAGCTTCATCGGATGAAATATCAACTCGCAGCAGTTGTAACTTTGTCCGATAAAATCCACAGCTGTCAGATATTGTTTCAAAAAATGACTGTGAATTTTGAGCGGTAAATCTGCCATTATTGTAAAGTGCATAGGTACCATCATACGATGGAGACCCTGACAGGCGTAGCAGTAGTAACTAACGGGGAGGGGATCAGTGAATCTCCTATGTTCCCAGGTGTGGCAATGTTAAGAGTAGCGCAAAAAAAAAAAAAAAACTTTTTCCAGGACATATGCAGGTCTCTAAAACACACAGCCATCCACTTTTTCAGTGCACTCACTTTGATTACAACTTAGCCTGAAAGTATGCTGGCGCTGGGTCATGCAGCCAGAGGAGACAATTAAACTGAGTAGTGATTATTCAACCGCCCAGATCTCCCCCCCTCCACCCAGCTTGCTGCCCTGACCCCCCTTTCTGCCCTCCAATCTCACTCTCTGTGCGTCTAGACGGAATACCTCGCACATGACACATTTAAGTCTTTATCTATGCCCAGAATATCTTTGCGAGCATGCGACAGGGCAGAAAGGACAGCATTGTTTCCCACACTACCACCATCCAATCCCAGCACCCACCCAATCCCAATCCCCCTGACCCCCCTCTACCCCCCCACCCACCCACTCACCCACCCACACACACACAAACACACACACTCACACACACACTCACAGATCCCCATCCCTCCCTTCTTCTGCCCCCTTTCAACCACCCATCCATAAAAGTGAAAATCACCCACGACGAGGGGGAAACCACTCACAGGCGCTCATCCCAAACACATGTTGGAGCTAATTCTGCAGACCATGTGACGAAATCTGAGTCTGTTCTCAGTGTCGAGCATTATACTCACCACTTTACTGACAATAAACCAGGCCTGAGGGTGATTACAACCAGGCAGGTGCTTGTATTTCAAGTGATTAAATAACATGCGAGCCCTGTGCAGTTATGAGGTTTACTAGAAACAGTTTTATTATGTAACCTAGTCACCATACTTTAAAGACAGTAAGTAAACTAGTTTGATCCAATCAGAGAAATTTGTGAGTTATACAAGAAAAATTTGGGTTGTCTTTCTAAAGAAAACAAAACAAAGCAGAGGACGCCATGAGAAAGCATGGACACGACCATTCAGGAGGAAGAGGGAGATTATGTGAGTGTTGTGGGGACCTAAATCTGTTTACACAGTCACATTATGGGGACTTATATTCCTTATGGGGACAAAAAGCAGGTCCCCATAGTGTCAGTCATGCCAGTCTAAGATGAAGACATGGTTTAAGGTTAGGGTCAGGCAAATAGTAGTTATGTTTAAGTTTAGACCAAGTCTCCAGGAAATGAATGTAAGTAAGTGTGTGTGTGTGTGTGTGTGTGTGTGTGTGTGTGTGTGTGTGCGTGTGTGCATGTGTGTGCAATTTTATGTCTGCTTTTGTGTGTTGGATCCCCTCTGCTTCCAAAAGGCTAAAGGGGTGTCTTCTTTTCCCTTTGGCTGACCCCCCCCCCAACTGACAAAGGGTGGGAGTCAGACAGCTCATTTACACTCTGTGTGTATGTGTCTATGTGTATGTGTGATGTCTCTGGAGCCTCTGATAATAAAGCCTGGGTTAATCAACACTTGGCAGCAATCACAATTTACCTTTTGTCCCCCCCCCCCCCCCCCCCCCCCCCAATCATACTCTTGTATATATTTACCTTTGTATATACATCATGTGTGTATTGCCGGACTTCTTTGTGCTTTGTTCAGAAGTGTCAGTGACGCTGTGGCTTTTTAAAGCCTGTTTTCCTTAAGCCTCAGGCTTATGTGTGTATGTACTGTATATATACGTGTGTGTGTGTGTGTGTGTGTGTGTGTGTTTTGTAGTGGAAAGACGGTGACACTAGTGTGACACACTGTGACACTCCAGGACCTCAAGGAATCCCGCCGTGTTTACTGTGTGGTTGCCAGGCAACACAAGACCCTGTTGGAAAAAAAACACTGATAGAAGGAGTCGGGTCAGCGTGCAGCATGGGAGCCGTGTTGCTTCCTCCCTTTTTGAGAAGTTAAAAGTGCTGGCTACCAAATGCATCAGAGTGATTTTTACGTTGTTGCCTCTGCGATTCCAAAATGTCCAGCGTGTAACGGCCAAACCTGTTTGTGTCAGCGGCTACGTATGTTCAGACACGGGGGCCAAGAGCAGCATATGTTTATCTGAGATTGACAGCGACACACACAGAGTGAGAGGTGTATGTCTGAAGTGGCCTCATCGCCACTAAGCAGCAGCTTTTCTATCATACAAATAAAACAACCAATTTTTCATTTTCTTTTTTTTCTCATTAAAGGCGAGAGAGAATTTGATCCAAATTTGGCTTTTTAGTTTTTTCACAGCTGGAAAGCAGAGAGAGGGGGGAAGTTTAGTGTCTGGTTTTAGTCCTGAGACCTGATCCTAAATCATCATCATCAGTGTAATTGATTGCCCCTCTCTTTTGGGCTCTATATATTTAGTTGACTCTACTTGGCTTTTTATTTGTGGAACTTGGGAGAAGAGACAAGGTTTTTGTTTGTTATTTTATGTTACGTAATTTATGTTTTTCCTAATGAACGCTATTGTACTACTGCAGAAGTAGATTTGGTGTCTTATAAGTCCATCTGGACTTCACTTATCGCAAACTAAGAAGTCCCTCTTTGTAAAGGATTTATAAGTTGTAAAAATCTATTTTACTGTTATTTCTCTTTATCACTGATAAAGGTTAACCGGGCTTTTTAATAAGTAATCTGCAGTTACAAATGTTATTGAAGTCATTAGTGTACGCTGATGCTAGTTAATTAGTCTCCAATAAGGAACAAGTTTTAAAAAAATTAAATAAATCTTGGTCTGGATGCACTGAAGCTCCTTTCCAGAAGTTCAGAAAAACAGTCCATTGTTTGATCTTGAATTCCTGATGAATTAAAGAGATAAAAAAGTGTTGTGGTGGATAAACGCCGCCCCAGAAGTTGATTTTATTAATGTCTGATCTATAAAACAAAACCAATAATGCCCTTAGTTACAACTTATAAAGATTTTATTAAAGGTTATTCATTAGAAAGTGTCAACACATGCACATACTGTAACTACCAGTACAATACATGTGGCTCTTAAGGCATAAAATAAATCCATTACTTTCATTACATCTGTTCAAATTAATGAGACTGTATAATAGGAAGGACATTGTCAGTGACTCTGAGTTATTTTGTTATTTAGGAAGACTATGAGGTGACACCTGATGAAAAAAGAAAAAGCAGAGGAGACCAGATCATCAAGACTTTTCTCTCAAAACAAGTAAGTTTCTTTATCTGATACATTTACAAACCTCTGAACCTCCTGTATCTCACATTTTGTAGTAAAAGTGTATTTAGTGACCTTTCACAGTGATTAATGTTAAAACCTATGGACAGCAGACAATAATGTTGCATTACAAGGGTTCTCATAAGGGTGTAGTAATTCAATGAACACATTAAATGTTCAAAAATAACAATGTAATCTTTGCACAAAGCATTTGTACATAATGTACTGTTACTGCTCTGTGCTCTCTGAGGAGTTATGTATGTTTCTCCCTAGTTTGATTGGTGTGTGTAATAAAAGGTAATGTATTTGTCCATGTGTGCGTGTATGTCACTGTGTGTGTTTACATGTGTTGATGTAGTCACCTCAGCGTGTAGACATAGCAGAGGTTTTTGCAGACCAGTGCAGAGAGAACCTCGAGCTCAGTCCATGTAAGGAGATCTTCAGCAACTGCCGCAAGTGAGTTGCCGCTGTCTTTATTCCCTCTCACCTGTCTGCTGGACTCTCACCTGTTTCCCCTCTGCCCTGTTTTTTCTTTTTTTCTTACCTCATGTTATATATATATAACAAACAGATGAATTGGATCTGAGCTTGCATCTCATTCTCAGCTGTAACTGTGTTGTCTGAGCCTGCGGTGTTGTGTGTCTGACCAGGGCCGTTCATGACTACCTGAGTGGAGCTCCGTTCGAGGACTACCAGAACTCCATGTACTTTGACCGGTTCCTGCAGTGGAAGATGCTGGAGAGGTTGTTTGGAACTTTTTGTCTTTTTTTTTTTATTATTTAACACTAATTTCATGTATTGCCATGTATTCAACGTATCCAAATGCTGAAAGCACAGAGATGTCTTTTTACGGTTTAATTTATTTATACTTCACATCCTCTGATTGGTTCTAACTTCAGTCACTACATTCAAGTCTCAATACTCAACACCAATCATCTCAAGTGCAATTTGTTGAGCCCAAATCAGTCTCATGTACAAATGGAGTATAATATGATTGGGCTTAACAGTGTAGAACACCAATAATTATTTATTTTTCCCAAAAGTAGATATCATCATGCTTTCGTGTGTTTCTCTGTCCAGTGGTGGAATAAGTATAAGGTAAAAGTAGGAATACAAGTGTAAAAAAAAAATTAGGACAAGAATGATATCTCAGATTCTAAAACTTACCAAGTATAAGTAGTAGTATAAGTATTAAAATCAAAAGTAAAAGTCATCAAAAATTACTCCTTTTAAATGTTATGCTGTTATATGTAATATTATTTATTATTACAGGTGAATTTACTGTCGCAGTTACTGTCTAAGCAGCATTTTAATGTTGCGGCTGCTGCAGTTGAAACTAATTTTAACTACTTTTTTATTGTCAGGCAGTTCAACCTGTTACACTGTTTTATGTACTGGTCATATATTTTGTTTGTAAAAATATTAATGTGCAAAATGACTAGTAACTCTAGCTGTCAGAGAAATGTAGTGGAGAAAAAAAAGTACAATATTTACATAATGGAGCTGAAGTATAAAGTAGCATACTCAACTGAAGTACACGTACCTGAATAGTGCAGCACTTCAGTACATGTACTCAGTTACATTCAAGAATAACATTTCTAATACAATTATCAATCAATATTTAATCTTAGAAACAACAAACCCAAGAGCCGTCTAAAACCATAAAAATAACTAAGACCATTCTGCTCTGTGAAGCACAGATAACTCAACATTGTGCAACATTGTTGACATAAAAATATATATTAACACATGTAATAAATGTTGGAATAATTCACTCGTTCACTTCAGAGACTCTTCAGAGGAGTGTGATCTCTCCAGACGGGAAAATATTTTGTGCAAAGTGTATGTCAAAGGCAGTTAGAAGCAAACAGCCGGCTTTCAGAGCTGCCTTGATTGTATCCATGTCTGGAAAGTGAAATTGCGTCCAAGATGCCCCACCCTCTGTACAGGAAGCAGACTCAGGATGGTATTGAGTTCCGCAGATAATATCTCTGTCCTAATCGATAATATATGAGCGTCTATTAATGGATTTCCCTGTGTCTGTGTTCTGTCAGGCAACCAATCACTAAAGACACGTTCAGGCAGTACCGAGTGCTGGGGAAGGGGGGATTCGGAGAGGTAGGAGATACAGTTTATGGTGAAAGTGATACACATTGATGATGATGACGATGATGCTTAATATATTTTGATTTGAACGAACAGTAATATTTGAGATTTGTTTTTTTTTCTCAGGTGTGTGCCTGCCAGGTCAGAGCAACGGGGAAGATGTACGCCTGCAAGAAGCTGGAGAAGAAGAGGATAAAGAAGAGGAAAGGAGAGTCGATGGCACTCAACGAGAAGCAGATTTTAGAGAAAGTCAACAGTAGATTTGTTGTGAGTCAACATAAAAGACGAGTATTTGCAGCACAGTACGCTTCGATTATCTTGCAGTTGCTTCTGTTTTGTTGTCCGTTCCTTTGTCTGGCCACTTTTATACCATTTAACACGTTGCTCTCGTCCTCTAGGTGAGCTTAGCGTACGCATATGAGACCAAAGACGCTCTGTGTCTGGTGCTGACCATCATGAACGGTGGAGACCTGAAGTTTCACATCTACAACATGGGCACGCCGGGCTTTGATAAAGACAGGGTCCAGTTTTATGCTGCTCAAATCTGCTGTGGGCTCGAGCATCTCCACAGGGAATGTATCGTCTACAGGTAGCGCCGTAGTTATTACACAGTCTTAAGCACATGATCAAAAACATTTTTTCTTGAATTGCATTTGTGTGAGAATTGATACTGTTCTCGGACAAATTGCTTAACGCACTCACATGCTTTGTTGATCGTAGGGATCTGAAACCGGAGAATATCCTGTTAGATGACAATGGTGAGTTTTGGAAGCTTAGATTTCTGGTTACAGCAGTTTTTTGTTTCGATGCTGATACACAATTTCAAACTACAGTAACACTTCATAAACTGCTGAACTTTGTATAAATTCAATGTATCATACTCATCACTGTTTTGCTGCAGGACACATCCGTATTTCTGACCTGGGGCTGGCCATCAAAGTGCCTGAAGGAGAGCACATCAGAGGCAGGGTGGGAACTGTGGGTTACATGGGTAAGAAACACTGCAGTCAACATTTCCATGAGTAAACTTACCTGAGTGATTACAAGTTCTTAACCATAACAAACTGCTTCCCTTTCTCTCTAGCTCCGGAGGTGATAAACAATGAAAAGTACGGCATGAGTCCTGATTGGTGGGGGCTGGGCTGTCTTGTTTACGAGATGACCGCCGGACGATCGCCTTTCCGCGCCCGCAAAGAGCGGGTGAAACGGGAGGAGGTGGAGAGGAGGGTGCAGGAGGAAGAGGAGGAGTACAACGACAAGTTTACAGAGGACACTAAGGCCATCTGTAGAATGGTGAGGCTTGATTCGATGGGAAGATGTTTGTATGGAGGAAATGGATGAATGATATAACAGTTTCATGATTCATCTTTGCTTCTACTCACCCAGCTGCTGACCAAAGACCCTAAGCAGAGGCTGGGGTGCCAGGCGGACGGAGCAGCGGGTGTCAAGGCCCACTCGTTCTTCAAAAACATCAACTTCAAGAGGCTGGAGGCTGGGATAGTGGAGCCTCCCTTTGTGCCTGATGTGAGCGGTTCATATTACTGTACACACTGCATGTTTCAGTCAGTCCCACTGCTAAAATCTAGTGTGAAACTCTCAGTAAGGACGTTTACGCTAACCAAAATAATCCAAAATGGCCACTGCAGGAAGTAAACAGCAAGTTCCATGATTAGAAATTATCTATTTAGATAAACTTGTCTCCTGTTTTTTCTCCCAACCCCTTCTTTTCCGTGGTCATTGCCCTCTCCCAGCCTCGAGCAGTGTACTGTAAGGATGTGTTGGACATAGAGCAGTTCTCCACAGTCAAGGGAGTAAATTTGGACCAAACTGACAATGACTTCTACTCCAAATTTGCTACAGGCAGCGTTTCCATCCCATGGCAGAATGAGGTAAGTGTGTGCACTTAATATGACATGTTTAAATGCTCAGTGCAGATTGTATAACTGCTGGAAGAACTCACTTACCAAAGTTCACCAAATTTCCTCTCCTCTCCTCTAGATGATAGAAACTGAATGTTTCAGAGATTTGAATGTGTTTGGGCCTCAAGGGACCAGACCTCCAGATCTGGACTGGAATCAGCCACCAGAGCCGCCCAGACGCAGCCTGCTGGACAGGATCTTCAGGAGGCATGTAAGTGAACGCACACAGGCGTATCATAAACTTGCGCACATTCATACAAATTAACCCACACAAAACTCTCTCTCTCTTGCTTTTCCTCTGCTGCAGCACCAAGACGTGTCTATTTCCCACAGCCGTGTGCAGTCTTCCAGTGTAAACTCTGTGGACTCCATGTCCAACTCTGCCCCCTAGTGGCACATCGACAGTGTGGGAGCCACACACACAGACACACAAAGGGAAGGAGCTCTGAGGGGCTTCCCCGCTGCTGATTGGCCCACAGGCGGGGGCCTGAGCAGCAGCCGGAGACAGCCTGTCTAAAAGCCTAAATGGTCAGCCCATGGGGGGTGGTGGTGGGTGGGGTGGGGGGGGGCGCGGTGACCAGGCCCTGAGACCCTGGGCATTTGTAGTGGGATGGTCAATGTTGCGGAGGCGTTTGGAAATATTCGGACAAACCTAACTCACCCTCAGGATTGTTGGACTATAGAACAGAGCCACTGATGTTGATGAAAACAGAAAAAAAATAGAAAACAAGCTAATATTCAGGGGATCCACTGTATAATAAAGACCACCACAGGGAATAGAAGATGGGGTCTTAGTGAATTTTCTTTTTTTTTGTTTTTCCAGAAACTGAATTTCTTTTTCACTCGCTTTAGGTCCTTTACTTTCTGGCCTGTTATCTTGCACCAGTATCTCTTCATCTAATTACAGCCCTCCGAGCGTCACCATCTGTACAACTCATACTCACTAACTTATTCTTTCTCTGTATTTCCACCTCCCATACCTCAGATCACTCCTTAAACATTCAGAACACATCACCTCAACAACCTCAACACATAATGTACATTGCCTTGCGTACACTCAGGCCAAAGATTACAGTTTAGTTTTGTGATACTGTTGTCATGTCGATTTCCTGGTTTTTGAAGGTTTTTAGCCGTCGTTTAGAACCACAGGAGGATCAGAATGTGTGATCCGTTTTCTACACTTTCTCTAAATATGAGCCTGCAGACATATCATATTGCTTAAAGCACATATACAGTACATACATACGCAGTCAGATTGACGCACACACACGCACACACACACACACACACATACACACACACACGCACACACAGACTGAATTGTGAGAATCGTGTTGTGTTTTCATTGCATGGACAAGTGTAAGTATGGACAGCTGTATCCCTTTCGCTTCTGCATACCTCATTCCACTGATGTTAGCATCGTATACACACAGACGTCTCCCTTGGTTTACAGTGTCACTTTATATTTGACATTATGTGGAGTTTGAAAAACGAATTAATATGCTGTACAGAAACAAAAATATCTGCTTTTTTTTTTCTTCTTTTTTTTTTTTTTTTGCTCAATTTTCTGCACAGTCCCCGTTGAGTGGAGAGCAACACATGCACTCAGCCTGACTTACAATTTGCACAATTTAAAACAATGTCATGCTGTTTTGTCACCAAATGAAAAATGTTTTTACCTCTGATCATTAAGGCACATTATTGTATTGATATTCTTCACACAGGCCGGTTATTTTCTACATCCGAAACTAAAGTGTTCTTGCTCTCCCTTTGCCTTTTTTTTCCATTTAAAAGCTACTGCTGCATAGCCGTTGTTGTCATGTGTACAGGTTTTTTATATTTTTGCCCCCTTACACTTACTCTTAACGTACTCTTCAAATGCCTCACAAATCTAAAGGGTCTTCCTCTTGTGTTGTGTTCAACCATATTCAAAGACACAGGGTATCAACGGCTGCGTGGAACGTTTTATCCTATCTGAATTGTATTTAATCGGTCCAGTTCATTCATGTCCGAGCAGATGAGGAGGGGAGGAAGACACCAGAGGATCCTGCAAACACCACCGCAAAGAAGTGGCCTTCTCGCAGCGGCACAGCCATTTGAAAGGGAGGAAGAGCGCGGCCTCTTCTGCTTATTTTAAGAATGTGGTATTTTCTGTATTTGAGACAGTGAAAGATGGTCCATGCAGTAATTTTAATCATCCTTATAATCTCATGCAAGCCTGTTTTTTTTTTTTTTTTCTGCGTACTTGATATGGGAAAAAAAAAAAAAAAATCTGAATCAGACTGAAGTGCCTCCTTGTTAGCATGATCTCCCAGACAATGCCCACACAGACATCAGCACTTTGTTTATTCTCTGACTGTCATGCTCTGTTTGTTTCACAGGGGAACGCGTCAACACAAACACACACAGACTCACACAGTTTGCTGGAAGTGAAGGGAAGGAGGGGTGTTGAAGGGTGCAGGGAGGAGGGATTGGATGAATGAGGGAGTTTTCTTTCTTATTGTGATGTACAGCAAAGTGCTGAGTGCATGTGAAAGCCAAACCCACTGTGTCCTTCTAGTCCTAATAAACTCTGTGCTATAATTTGAGTACTCCACAGTTCGTCTGTCTCTTCTTTTTCCCCCGTCTCCTCAGTCCGTGTGACCACAGAACACTTCTTCCTTCATAGGCAAATACATCTTATTGATTAGAGATATTATGTTCCCACTCACAATTTTATTAAAGTTCCTCGTGTACATGGAACAGTAGACGCAAAGCTTTTATCTTTATAGGAATACAATAATGCTATAATCCAGTTTTGCAGTGGTATTGTCATACTGTAATAACATGGCCATTTAACTTTTCTTAAACATATTATTTAATTTTCTTCATAATGAGACCATTTGGATGCAGACACCCAGTGTTAAATTATCATTGTCATTGTTATTATTAGTATTAGTAGTAGTAGTAGTAGTATTTTACTTTTACTTTTCAGGGAAAACCATTCCACTTTTACCATAACCATGTTCTCCTACAGCCAAATACACATGAGCTTTGAATCTATAACTATGGTCCTAAGTAAAGGATTGGTTCCTTTGAACCTTTGAAGAGATTCCCTATGTGATTCGAGTGTAAGGGATGTGGTACGAAGTCCACAGTGTGAACCGTGTAAAAAAAAAACTCATCCAAAGCTGACATGAGGCCTCAGCAGTCAGTTAGACAAATCCATCACATTTACACTGTTTTTAGTACCAAATTCCCTCTTTGCCGTTACCATCCCTCCACCACAGCTCCACAAAGGGAATTTTACACTAGAAACGCTTTAACTGTTTATATATACTGCTTGTTTCAGCTGAAGTTCACAATGTACAGAGAGAGGACTGTGGGTCTTGTCCCCTCATCTCTTTCATTGAAATGTTTTGTTTGTTTTTGGTCACTAACGACAGGAGGAACAATTACTGCAACGAAAAGCTGTTTCATCGAACACGTGAGCGTGACAAAATGGTTTTAAGACTATGAGAGTCACTCACTGGTAAATCTATTAACTGAATAACTGAACATGTAGTCCAAGAAAATGATATTTTCATTACTTCATTAACCATGGAATTTGTAGTATATTAGACAGCCTTTGTGCAACCCCATGACATTGCTAAGGAATGCCCTCTCTGCCTGACTCAGATGGAATCATGGGGAAAAAAACAGAGGCGCCATAACAGGGAAATATTTGCAAAGGAGATATACACACAAACATTTGTCCTGAAGCCTTCTCGGTACTGAATAAACCTTTATTTAAATGCAATGCATTTGTCACAAAGCTACTGTGTCCCAGTGTGATCATCAACTCTAACAGGTTGGTAAGACTATAATATACATCAACATTCATGACAAAGTAATGATGACTTTGTCTGGCCATGGACATAACCTTCTTCGGGCTCTTAAACCCTCGCCAGGATCCACATTAGAGTAATACAGTTTGCTCCAGGACTGAAGCTCATTAAAACATAATGCTGCTCATGTCACATAGAGAACCAACAGAAACATATGACCCACTTTGTCTCAAAAAAAAGAGCTTTACAGAACAAGAGCCGTGGCTGAGTAACGGGTCAGATAGTACTAGGCCTGTGTGTTCCCATATTAAATGAGACAACTCACCCTGCAGAAGGCCAAAGGGACTGATGGATAGTTCCTGCCGTCTAGCCAGAGGGATGGGAGGTTGCAGGTTAAGGTGACTTCAGTCATTCTTTGCGATTCATTAATTTGTTCCTGTTTTCTCTGCGCTTCACTAATCAGATGGCCTGCTATACTCTGTTGACTGGTTTCCATTCCTGTGGTCATGTGCACTGTTGACTCTGAGAGCGTGCTTGACGTGCAGCTCGCTGAGGCAATATTGCTGTTAGATAGTTTGGATTTTGCTTAGGTGGAGTGAATAAGGTTGTCAAAACACTTGCCCAGCTTGATAAAACATGTTTGTTACGGATCGCACTGCGTCATTTGACGATTAAGCGAGCCCGTTGGATAAACTTCCAGAGGGTGATTCAGTCTCACTGACAATGAGGCTGAAGCAGAATCATGTAGCTGATGTTTGGATGGCAGCATTATGAAATGTGATGTGTTTGACGAGTCTAACCACCATGGAAAAACTGATAGGGCTGCTTTTGAGAAATATTAACCCCACTGAGAAGAAACTATATTGACTGAGCATATTGTCACAATGCCCTGTTGTCTTTTTGCACATAAGAAAACACGAGCAGTATGTGATGTTTAAGTTAGGGATCCTCAAGGGAAGGTGGCTACCAACACTCACATTGCACCTTACAGTACAGTAGTTTCTAGATTCACTGTGTTAACACCAATGTTTTATTAAAACTGGCTTTACTTCCTCCCACAGACCCCACTGCTGTACTCTATTTGTAATGATGAAAATAAAAATAATGATAATAATTGCAAAATCAATCAATTCTTCCCTTTAAATATTTGGGTTTTTTTCTTCTGATCTCATCAAAACCCAATACATAGGAATCTACTGAAGTAGTAAAACCTTCACTTTGCAACAAACTGGTCAAAAGGTCATACATTACAGAAATTATAAGACATTATTATCACACCAAATAAGTACATATTTAATGTTCTTATATTGGCTATGCAGGAGCAAATATACAGTTTATCACTATTATTTGCCAGAAAGTCATTCACTGACAAGACATGCACAGTATGTTAGGGTAAATTGTAATGTGACCCATGTTTGGGGTCAGTTAGACTCCGAATTACCTGAGCTGACCTAAACTGTTATCAAAGTCCAATGACTGATGAGAAATCCAAAATAACTGAAAGTAATGTCAACACCAATCACTGAAATAAAGCATATAAAAATCCATTGTATCTAAACCTGTTGTTCAGATGATCTGAGACTCTAAATACAATGTCATGCATTCATTTCTGTGGCTGACTTTTGAAACATATGAAAATCATTGTAAGCAACTTTTCAAGGCTAGGGAAATACAATATCAAGGCGATAAAACAATGTTAAGTTGTTATTTGTTTGGGTCTTTTTGAGATGCTAACAAGAGCCTACAGTCCCCAGGATGCTAAACAGAACATTATGATTAATGACTGGTCATTTCCACTCAGTGATAATGACAATTGAGATGCATACCTCATACCAAGATATCAATCATTAAGGGGGAAGAAACAAGCCAAACTGGATGGAATTTTTTTTTTGCCCTTAAATTCCACAGTGAGTGTTTAGGCTGCAATGGACCATGAAGGGATGGATGAGTCACTCAGGGTCTCTCCCTATGACCTTTGTTTTGGACTCTCTCATCACTGTAGAGAGGCTGTTTCTGTCGCCCACTGCTACGGGAATGTGTGTGTGTGTGTGTGTGTGTGTGTGTGTGTGTGTGTGTGTGTGTGTGTGTGTGAGTGAGGCAGTGGGCCTGGGCACTGGACGTTATCTGACACAGTGTTTGTGAGATTCTGAGACAGGCTCGTCATGTCCGTGAAGCAACCTTGGTGACATGGCCGTTGGTACAGTGAGGTGATGTGTGTGTTTATCTACGTGGTGATAGCACGGCGGCCTTGTGTGCAGTGCTCTTATATATACAGACACTCTGAAGCGGCTACAGACAGAAATCCAAATTCCTCTCTACAGCACTCTCAGCCGTTCGGCCACTTCTTTCAAGAACATTTACAGCTCAGCCAGATTTTGAATCTTTGTGATCTACTTGATTTCATAGTTTCTCTGTTCTCTTAAAGCTGCTATAAACTCCTGTAAAAGAAAATGCTGCCTGCAACCTTCAAACTGTGCGCTGGCATCTCCTACCGGCATATGAGAAACATGACAGGTGAGTGAGAGAATCTGGTTTGGACAAACATTTAAACCTGTTGCCTTGGCCTAGTTTTCTCCCTGTTTTACATTATGCTCAAAAATGCACATTTCCCTCACGGAGTTGTGCATGGGGCTGAATGAATGGATAAAGACGGAGCCTTATGCTCTCTTATTATTTTCTTCTCTTGTGATTTCCTTTCTTTTGATGCATTTTTCCTGCATCTTCCAGGTTTGAGGAAGAATGCCATGGTGGCCATTCACCATGAACTCAACAGACTGGCAGGCCCAGGCCCCAGTAACTGGATCAGCCAAGTTCGCAGACGAAGCTCCCTTCTCAGTGAGTTGTCACACACGGTTATACACACAGATACACATAATGCAAGACTCTATATGACATGTAACACTAGTATTTCATCCTAGAAATACAGTAACATAATTGTGGGAAGTTAACAGACATGATTCACTGAGTCGCCGCTCTGTTTTAAGGCTCTCGGATTAAAGAGGAGGATGGATACAGCGAGGAGGAGATGTCTTATGTGAAGCAAGGTGAGAATGCACTGCAGAAGGCCATCGGCATCCTCAGCGAGCAGGACGGCTGGACCATAGAAACTGTAGCTGTGAGTATTGAGACAGCACCCACATAGTAGAATAACAGTTCAGTGAAGTATGAAGTAATTTCAAAAGACATGGCTGTTGCTACTTTGCCAGGTTGATTAAAGGTGTGCATCTCATGATTTACAGTTTGAGTGGGATGTGACACATCTGAATCTGTATGTTGTTTCAAATTTGAAAGAAGACACTTGAAGACTTCCTGTGCTTGTTTCCACCCTCCCACAGGCAAACGGAGACAAAGTCCTGAGTAAGGTGTTGCCTGACATTGGGAAGGTGTTCAAGCTGGAGGTGATGCTGGAGCAACATCCTGAAAATCTTTATGAAGAGCTTGTGGGGAACATGGAGCAAATGGGCGAGTGGAACCCTAATGTCAAACAGGTCAAGGTAAGAGAGTTGCAGCCCCAGGAGTTGGAAAATGAATGGGGATTACTTTTTTGAAACATAAACTGACAGCGTCTATCCGAGACCATTTGTATAATTTCACAATGGGATCCCGCAGATCCTTCAAAAGATCGGCCAGGACACAATGGTGACCCACGAGGTTTCGGCAGAGACACCCGGCAATGTGGTGGGACCGAGGGATTTTGTCAGCGTCCGTTGCGCCAAACGCAGAGGCTCCACCTGCTTCCTGGCTGGAATGTCCACCCAGCACCCAAGAATGCCCGAGCAGAGGGGTGTAGTCAGGTGAGTGCAGGGGAGTCACCAGTAGGGGAAAGTAATTTACCTTTTATGATATGTGTGAGCATCGATGTGTCTGTATGGAGAAATGAATGGATATAGAGCAATCAGGCTACTTGTGTGCAGTAGATGGATGGATATACTGCACCTCATACTGATCTTTGCATTTTTCAGGGCGGAGAATGGGCCTACCTGTATAGTTATGAAGCCGTGTGCTGAAGACCCAAATAAGACCAAGTTCACCTGGTTACTAAGTATAGATCTGAAGGTACATTACTCCCATGACTTTATTTCCTACTGTAACCACAGTGGGATTTGCAATGAAATTTATTCAAGAGCTAAAAGTCAAAACTGTATATATATATATATATATATATATAAAAAACAGCACCTAAATATTATGGCATCCAATCTAACACTTGCTTTGTCTATGTCTCTTTGTCGTACACAGGGCTGGATCCCAAAGACAATCATACACAAAGTGCTCTCTCAGACGCAGGTGGACTTTGCCAACCACCTCAGGCAAAGGATGGCTAATAATGTTTCTATGGAGATGGCTCATGCCTGCTGACACAAGATGCCTCTTGAGCTTTGGCACAGTGCACTCAACAGTGGCAGAAAAGCAACCACTGCTCATTAAAAAATCATATAAATCTGCTTGTAACTGCTGAAAAAAACCCCAAGAAAATCCAGAGAGTATTAAGGAGGTCAGATGAAGATGATGCTTGTGTGAGATCTTAGGAAAATCTGAGCACAAATGTTGGTTTAATTTTGCAAATCTGTGTTTTTCTTGCCCCTATGAATAGAAACTCTGTCATGAGATTTTGCATCGCCAACACCAATCTTACACATTGTGTGCCTTGATTGTTTCTGACACATTCATCCACATCACTCCTCTCCACCTTGGCCATAAAACATGTAACACAAATGGCACATTGTTTCCTTCTGATAACACCTCAGTTATTGTCCCCTCCCTGTGCTGTGAAATTGAACTTTTATGTCAGTGTTTTATTTATTTATTGATGTTGCACTGACACGTTACTTTACAGTGACTGCCATGTGAATAAATGATTGCAATGTCACTGATATTTATGTTTTTATGTTTCTATTATGCTGTTGGATATAGAGAGAAGCAGTTTGGCGAATGATTACTCTGTCCTATCCTGATGTATAACAACTTAAATAAAAGCTCATAAAATATTTCAGTGCTTGCTTAACTGCAAAGATAAAGACTGAAAACACAGTCCATATGCACACTTTGAATATGACATCTATTCTATCCCCATAGGAAAAAAATACACAAAAGCAAAACAAAAAACTGAACAGAAAACATAAAACTCACCTTGGAAACTACACAGCAGTTGCACAATGATTCCACTTCAACAGGGAGGAGATGGATGAATTTGAAGGTTATTTTTTAAACCGTGAAAAATTTAGTTCATAAAAAAATGTCTTTTTGTTGCTTGATGGGTTTTCAGACTGACAGTCTGCCAGAATGAGCAGGTGTTTGGCCATTCAGATGTGTGAGGAGTCCAGCAGCGAGCAGTCCAGTGCGAGCCAGCAGCACATTCCCCGAGATCAAGTAACGGCGGATCTCATCCCAAACAGGAAATCTGTCCTCCATTATTGCCAGTTGTGTAACATTTTTCCTATTTTGTGAAGCCTTAATCGATCCAAAATGTTTTGCAACAGCTTGGATGCATTGCAGACTGCAGGGGCCAAGATTAGTTAAGCTGACGAGTTGAGGCCTCACTCTCCGTCTCACATGATTTAGTTGGCCGCAATATTTTCACCAGCACTATTTCAGATTAATGTCGCCCAATTATGTCATACCATTAAGGCCTGAAGGAAATTTCTGAGGTGAAATAGGAAGTTATGGCTGGCTGTAACCTGTGAACTGTGGTAGCTCTGTTTTTCACTTTTTACCATAGGCTTTTAGAGAGCAAAACAAAAAAACAAAACACAAACTTCAGCAGAATAGTTCCAAGAGCTGGCCTGCATAATGCAAAACAAACATTTTTTTCCTTGAAAGAATGTTCCAGAGGGTAATAATTGACATCTGCTTGAAATCCCTCAAAATCTGAACATAAGCAGATGTGAGGAGAGTTGTAGCCACTCAGAGATCTTGTTTCGTTATTTATGTAATGAGAGGAGTGGAGAAACTCTGGGGTAGGAAAGGGAAGATTATCCAGTGCAGATAAGTTTACCAGGAAGACAAAACAAACTATCAGGCAGTCTTATTGAATCCTTGGAACTGATGGGAGCCTTGATTAAATTTTTCTATTATTGGTCTTTTCATAATTATCATATTCATAATTTGTATCAAAGAGAAAAAAAAGAGACTTTTTACAGTATTTTGAGCAAAGGAGAGTATCTGTGCTGATAGGAGGTGTAGACAGAAAAGGAGGTCACAGGCAGCTTGCTCTACAATAGTCTACAATACGAGGAGAGAGAGAGCAAAAGCAATGACGTAATGAGGCTAGAGTCCGACAGGAAACCACAATTCCCAAGATGCACTTGAAATTACCGTGGCCACTGGACGGGGGAAGGGAAGCTGAGATTGGAGGGAGAAACAATCAGAAACTGAGGTACTTTTAAAATGCTTCATATCGCATAATATTCTCGGACAGGCCGCAGCATGTAATGTTTTGTAGCGTATTTGATATACCTTAAAGCCAAAAGTAGATTTATCCGTATGTTGCTGTCGTATTTGGGGACAGACTCCATCCCCGTTACAGTTCAATAGAGCTACGGCTAGCCCGTTAGTTAGCCTGACAGCTGGCTTTTCTTGTGCTAGCCAGGTCTCAACTACTTAACTGCACTTGAAATTCAAGACATGAATCTTTTAGCTCTGTGCTGCAAATGTAGGTCGGCTTGCACGCAGTATGTGCGGGCGTTGCATTGTCGGTTTGAGACGAAGCTGTAGCTGCGTCTTTGTGCCTGCGGGGTTGCTATCTGACATATTGCTAGCTTGTTGGTTGCTACAGATAATGTTAGCTAGCTGACGTTAGGCTGCTGCTGTAGCTGTCAAAGCGGCGATGTGTAACAGTAAACTGTCAACTGACAAAGAAAAGACTTGGTCCCTTCATTTTGCGATTTCGTCTCGACACTGTGCTCGTACTCTGCAGAGCTTTACTTTAACACTCGCGTGCAACGAATTTATGGCATTTTACTTGGGTAAAAGTAGCAATACCACTTATAGAAATACTGTTTTACAAGTAAAAGTCATGCATTGAAAGTGTCGCTTAAATGACAGTACCAAAGCTTGAAAAAAAAAAGGTACTCTATTCAGAAAAAATTACCCTGTTAATTATTATTATCGCGTTTATTGTTGGAGCTATTATTTGACTATTTGATGTAGCCTACTGTTTGGTTGAATCTACAACAATGCATCCATAAGCTCATTATAAATTATGTAAGTGAAATAAAAATCATAAAAAGTGAATTGTGGTGTATTAGAAGTATAAAGTAGCATGGTTACAGTAGAGTACGAGTACCTCAAATTTGTATTTAAGGACAGTATTGGATAAATGTACTTATTTACTCTACAACAGTGAGTTTAGGTTGCTGTGCCAAGAAATAACTTACAAAAACAATATTACAAGACAACACTTTGAGGCAATAAAGCTTATAGACCTTTTTCACAGCAGACATTTTAGCTTGCTGTAGTAGGAAAACCACAGGTGTAACTGATAACATGAAACACGACTGCATTCCATTTAAATAAACCAGTTCCAGGGTCCTGATATTGTGCATGCTGGCTCACTGGCATGATTTACAGGGACACTTGATGGAGCAGAGCCATAGTAACACAATTTGGTTTAGCTTTTCCTACTATGACAAGTCAGAGTGTGTGAAAAAGGTCTATAGTTGCATATTTAGAAATTTTGAGATTATACCCATATTTTGCTCCACATTTTATGTTTTATGTCCCCATGTAGGTGCTATTTCATTTTTGTTGACCATTTACATATGTTTATTAACTTTGTATCGTTGATAATCGTTTTTGTTCTAATTTTCAGATATTGTGTACACATGACAGCCCCTCCTCAGGACTCTGGTCATACAGGAAGTCTATCCATGATCCACATCTCACTGGATGCCTGCAGCTTTGGATGTGTGCTGCTGTTTCATATGAGGCTGAAGACATAACACAGCTTTGATGCAAGCAAATTAAACTGCGCCTGTACTGGTACCTCTAGGTCAGTACTGGATTTGTCTTGAGTGCCAAAGTAATGAAGTGTCTTGGACAGGGAGAACCCAGCCCTGAAAAGCAATGTCATCATCCATCTTCAGTGTACCTCTGATGGGGCTGAGGAGTGAACCCACTGGCCGAGCAGATCTGTGGAGGAGAGGAAGGAGGCAAGTTTCCAGGAAACTTGTGTATTGATGGATAACCATTTCCTCTGGTCAGCACTTGTAGACGGATACCTGCACATTCCTCTCTGTGTACACTTTCAAGGTTAGACTTTGGAGTGGCTAATAAAACCAGTGTCCCATCAAAACCACACAATCACCGCTATTACACAGAAACAGAGAATATGATGTGCACAACATGGATTTCTTTCACCAGTGACAGTTTTGTGATATCATACTGATGACTGTGGACGTTGAGTTCTCTGTGTTTATGAGGAGATAATGAGAAAGTCTTAGATACTTGCAGTCACTGCAAATGTGCACTACGGAAACCATGGTGGTCCTTGCATTAGCTCCTCAGCCCAGCTCAGTCCAAGACTTCAGAAGTCTGTAGAGGCCAGGATCAGGAACACGCTCGCCAACCAACACACTCATATGCAATGGAAGAAGACATTGATGTCACATCCCATACTGAGGTAACATTATTTCACCTTTGATCCTAGTGTTTTAACAGTTTAATCTCATTCCAGTGTATGGGTTTACAGCAATGTAACACCATTAAAACAAAACAGCAACACCTGCTTTGTTGGTCAACAAAATGGAAGTAGGTACTATCTGACCGCTGTTGCCATATTCATGTAGTCACCCTCAGGGATAAATGTTCCCTTCCTGCTCTGCAATCTTGTTTAATGTTAAACAATTTAGAGCTCATTTGTTTAAGCAGTTCTGTCACATGTGTTTAACTTAAGACCTAAGGTCAATAGTTCTCCCTCCGCTTTAGCTGTAATCTCTGGTCTGGCTTGGCATGTTTCCATGGTGGCAGCTGACAGGGCATTTCCTTATCCACGGCTTTGTTTTCTAGCCGTAACATTACCTCTTGCACCCTGGCCTCTATCCTACTGTATTGCTACTTTTGTAAACACTTGAATAAATATGTCCCCTTCTTCGCTAAATGCAGCATGACAGGGCAAAGGAAGTTTTCTTTAAAGGCAGTGCACCCTTGAATTACCTGATTCTTAATGCGTAAATCTACCAATGCAGAAAGCATCCTAATAAGGCTGAAGAACTGAAGTGTTTGCAAGTGTGCAAGTTCTGAGATTTAATTTTGGCATGTTGTACTTAATATTTTTTAACAAATGTGCATTAGATTTCAGGCATGCCAAGATTAAAAAAAACAAACAAAAAAAAAAAAATGAGGTGTGCAGTGATAATGGGTTAACTGTCTTAAATGGAGTGAAAGGTGCACTATTTTTATATTGTGTACATGCCTGACGCATCTGCTCTGTGTGGCTGCCCTTCTGTTAGGGTCTGAATGGTTTGTCCCATGAATGTAAACCATTAGATGAGATCACCAATGGACACTCCAATCATAAGCCTGTGAGTACAGCAAAAAAAAAAAAAACTCTTGTCATTGTAATTTGTTTTTCCTACTAAGTCTTTTATGTAGAAATTCCCTCATAAAGCCTTTTTTTCTTCACAGGTCATGAATGGACTGATTATTGGTCATAATGTCAAAGACCACACCAACGGCAGCGCACCGCTCAGATCCCTGCCGGTAAATACATTTCATTCTTAGTTTACACTTTAACCCACGTAACTTCTCTTTCATGTAAGGTAATCCATTTCTTGGTTATTGTCCAGATTTCAGCACTAAAGCAGAATGGTCTTCTGCAGACCCTGGCAGCTGGAGGGGACCAGCCTAAGCCTACAGGTAACACACACATACTCTCACACAGTCTCTCTTTTGTCTCACATCCTCTTCCCTCAGGAATTTGTTGGTGTATCCTAGATACCAGGCAGCTGTTGCAGGTAAAACCTCCCTCAGGAGTGAAGGTTGTCTGCTTGGAGGAAGCGCAGAGTCTCAGTTGCACTCGGGGTGATGCAGGTCTTTTAGAGAGGAAGGATTTATGACTGGAGAATGAACTGGATGGGTGTCGGCCATTGCACCATAGCTCATTGGCTGAGTAGATGCTCATCCCCTTTGAGTGCTATAGCCAGTGAAATTAGTGTGTGGAAAAGCGTGTGAAACTATTGAGTGAATGACTTTGTTTTCATCCCTCAACTTTGTGATTTTTTTAACAGAGGAAAATGTGGAGTTGGAAAAGGCCAGACAGGAGTGGGATGCTCTGGAGAATGTCCAACCAGGTCAGATGCATTTTGTTGTTTCACCTGTTTGCTTCAAAATTAAGTTGACCTGGTTAATTTGTTTTTTTGTCTGCAAGTAAATTTTTTATGTAATATCCCCCAGCTCTCACTGAGGACTCGACCCCAACCCCACTCATCTCCTTCAATGAAGCCCTGCAGTACTTCCAGACCACAGACCTCGGGGACTTGCTAGTAAGAAATGCTACATACCAATAATAGCCATGTCCCAAATAATAGCAGTGAATGTGGTCTATTTACATTACAATTACTTATATGAGAAATTCAGCACAACGTACATTTATTTTATATTAGTAAAACAACATTGTCATGTAAAAATCTCCCAGGGGTGAGAAGGGAACTTTTATTTTGAAACAAACAGAGGAAGTGGAGTTTGCAAAACAGCAGACACAGGCAGCAGGAAATTAGCAAAATAACAGGAAAGAAGAGCAAATCAGAAAGAGAGATTTGACTCAAATACAGATCTGGTGAGTGAGGTAGAGAATTTAAAGGGTTGTATGTGGGTGAGAGAGAGAGAAATAGTGAAATAGTGGCTTCCAACAGCAGGAAAACTGCATCCAGAGATATATCAGTGAAAATCAAGTAAATTAAATGTGGATTTTTGTGGAAGAATTTTATTGAAAGCCAACTATAATTTTAAAGTTGTATTGTATTTTTGCCATCCCTTCTATCTGTAGAAGAACATCCAGCCAACCATTCGCAGGACAGGTCTGGCCGCTATCACACACTTCCTCTTCGGACCTCCACGACTGCACCGGGAACTCTTGGAGGAGAGGGATCTGGTTTTTGCCATTGCACAGTGTGAGTGTGTGTTTGCAAGGCCTGTTTATGTAATGATCCTACCTGGTGTAAAACTGATGAGCTTTTAATAAACCACTGATTTTCACTTTTGCATATTTGTGTGTGTTCTCTATAGGCCCTGTGGACAACAGCCAAACAGTCCACATGCGTGTCCTGCAGACCATTTATAAGAGGCTGATCGGCAGCAGGCTGGACTGTCCTCGCTATGGAGCGCACTGGGAAAACATCGGCTTTCAGGGTAAGACACTACTGGTCCTTAATTTCACAATGTAATAGATTGTAATTGTTAAGAAATTGTAAGGTTTACAAATAAAGACTAGTATTAAATGTTTCTCTAAATAAATACATCAATTAATCAAAATAAATGGCTCTGAGGCCATTGAGTAATTCTATTGTTTCTACTTTAGAAAAGAAAATCTATTTATCCAAAATAATTGACAGTTCACACCAAACTATAAATATGTGTTGTTGTATCATGTCTTTGTTGGTTTGTTTTCTGTACTGCAGGTACAGACCCGGCCACTGACCTACGTGGCACTGGTTTCCTGGGACTGATGCATACTCTGTACTTTGTGATGGACCCAGAAACTCTGCCTTTGGCTAGAGACATCTACAAGCTATCACAACACCCTACACAGGTATACTGCAAAAACTCAGATCTCAAAAACATGAAAAAAGGCAGTTTAATGGGGGAAATATTACTTAATATACACAATATTATCTGCCAAGAGAACAGGGAAATTACATCGCCAAGATTTGTTAAAGCAAGTATAAATAAGCGTGAAACAAGTGGTCACCAGGTGCCAGAGTCAGTAAATGTGTGCATGCACGAATGTGCTTTATTTAACAGACGTGTTTTAATTGTATGTGTCATTTTGGACAACTGATTCAGGAATCAGATTTCACCAATCCTTCAGAGAGTCATTGAAACTTCTCCCACTCCAGGTGTGCTGCTTTGTAGTTGACCCTGACCTTCGTCCTCACTGCATAGGGAACTAGAGCAATTTCCCCTCAGAGATCAATAAAGTCGACTACAAGACACGCATGTTTCAGGACTTCTTCTTGTGGTCTTTTTAAGTATTCCATGGGGACCTAAGTTTCCTTGTGTATTTCCTTTGGTTTAGAACTTTCCATTCAGTGTGATGTCAATCAACATGACCCGCATCGCTCTGCAAGTACTCAGAGAGGAAGCCTTGTCCAAGTGAGTCACTGGTCCTCAGTTATTGTTTGACCAAATCTTCTGGAGTATGTATGTGGTATATTGTCTATTATTCACACGGCATCTCTTCACACCAACACTCCTCTCTGTCTTTGGTCATACCAGGGAGTGCAATCGTCGTCAGCAAGTGGTTGGTGTGCTGAATGAGTTCTACGTTGCCACGTATCTGCACCTGTACCAACTGTGGAAGACCCAACAGAAGACCATTGCTGACTCTGGCTTTGTACTAAAAGGTAAAGAAAATGGTGGATATTTCTACTATTACTGAACACGTAGAAATCCTTGTTCATTCATTTGTAATGATATCATTCTGTTGCAGATGTATTGTACTGGAATGACAGTGTTTCATGTACTATTTTTGTGATTTGATCAGTAAAAGTGAACTCCAACAATTCTTCAAATTCCAATAAATTCAAATAATCAATCAAATAATAATCAAAGCTTTTTGTGGCTCCAGAGTGAGCTGTATGAAATCAGATAAATAGACTCAAATGACATTACCTGAGTCAGCGACAGTTGGGTCTAAAGACTCAAAGTTAGAAAATGAAAAAATGTGGGGCTGTGGAGTAAGAAAGAAGTGAATTTACTAGGCTACATTAACCACTACTAGCATAACACGCATGAATCTCCAACTGAACTGTTAGCAGAGGAGTTGCATTATGGGTAATGTTGGTGCAAGATTTTGACAGAGAAGAGTGTGTGGAATAAATATATATTAAAATGGACGGATGACGCTCTGATATCTGTCCATTAAATGTAAGGCTACATCCAGCGGCTGGTTAGCTAAGATTATCCCAAAGACTGAAAATGGAAAAACGGCTAGCCTGTCTCTGTCAGCAGGTAAAAAACATCTGCCTGAAAAACAACAAAACTGAAATGTAAAAACGGCAGGTTTATCTACCTGCCCGAGAACGAGACCTGTACATAACCCCTGACACCGTATAGATGTACGAGATATAATGTGATAGTAATGAGTGTTAGAGTTGCTGCTAGGCTGATCTTGTTACTATTTTGTTAAGAGCCAGGCTGGCCATTTCCCCTGTTTCCAGTCTTTGTGCTAAACTAAGATAACCAGCTACTGGCTTTGGTTTCATATTTAATTGACAGATATGTGAGTGGTATTGGTCTTCTCATCTAAATCTTAGCAAGAAAGTGAATAGTAGAATAGTAGATTTCCCAAAATGTCAAACTCTTCCTTTAGAACATGAGTCACATTGATATGAATTACCAACACAGATTGTCATCCCGGCATGAGTCCCACAATTTCTGTGTTTCTAACCCTATAGAAGTGGAGCTGTTTGCCAAAAAGAACCCCAAGCAGATGCTGCGCCGACTAGAGGTCTTCCTGAAAGAGAGGCGGGCAGGTGGAATCCCCCGTGGGACGTCGTCAGACCCTCAGGCCCAACAGCCTTCTCCCAGCCTGGGGGAGCGAGCGGCCAGAGCCGGGGCGGGACAGGGAAGCAAGGGAAAGGAGATGCACTTCACAGGAGTGTGTGATCTACCGCCAGACATGGAGGGAGAGGCCAGACTCATCTAAGCTAGACTCTGTGTGAGTGTGCGTGTGTGCGTGTGAGCAATCCTGCTTGTGAGTATATCTATTAGTGTATTTGCAAGTGGCTTACTCAGCTAGAAGAAGAACCCCACCAGACCCTGATCTAGGACCTCCTCTCTAGACCTTTTCAAACACTTCCACTCCTTCCATTGATGCTGGGGTGCTGCACTTTTGATCAGATTATGCTTGGGGGTCTCTCAGAGTTATATTTGACTTTTTTTTTTTATTTATTTATTTTTTTTTAAACAGATAACATAGAACAGTCAAATATAAAGAGCTGATGCAGGTCAGAAACACAAGATGTCACAAAAACAACAAGAAAGTGAATGTTTGCACTTTTCTGTGGATTTAGTAGCCAAATCAATAGCTGCCAAATTCTTGTGGATAAACTCTACCTGCCTAGAAATCCAAAACATACACACTTGACTTGTTTTCCAAGGATCTCTGAGTCAGGTTATGTTAGCATTGCAGAGAGGGAGAGAAAGCATGGAGCGGCTTTTTTAAAAGGCTTGGCTATTTGTCTCACTCCAAGATACTGCTCCTTCACATGAGTATGCTTACAGCCCATAATGCAACTGAAAGGCAGCATTGTTAGGCATATTGTTAAGCGCTCTGTTAACTAAGTGAAAAAATGAACCAGTTCCAAGCCCTTCTATAGAGCAAACATGAGTAGGTTTTCTCTCGGCATGAGTTGGGGGATAGAAAACCGAGAGGGCTTACAGCAGATTTTGAGCGGGGAGTAGAAATTGCAAGTATACGCTGTTGTCAAAAATCTTACTCAGTAGACTTTGAATGCAGCTTGCTTTGAAGGTCTAATCACTTTGCATTCTCTATCAGAGTGTGAAAGAAATATACGTTATGTGAAAGATGTGAAAGATGTACAAGAATGGACCCTCAGTCCGGATGTGTGGAGGTATAGCCAGTTGTTGGTGTACTCATAGTGTCTGTTGCCAGGGGTGTGATAGACTAGGTCCAGAGCTCCCACTTAATATGGGGGAATATATTTTAAATAATTTTAAAAAATAACTATGTTAGTCCTTTCTGAAGGGACAGCTGTCATAACTTCACAGTTATGTATAAAAGCACTTCAGAATTTTGTTGTTCAACTGATGGCTGAGTGACCGTGAGAAGGATTTTTAACACTGTTGAATTCCTCCTAAACATCTGAAAGTCTTCTGACTTCTCAACTTGTCACGGTTAAAGCCAAGGAGACACTTCATAACAGAGTCTGGGTGCTTGGCTTGGTCCCGGCTAAAGTCAAAGGTCTGGTATGAGCTTTCTCTACATTCCGTTACAAAGCATGTGATTGTAATTTTTTTGACCAGTTAGAAATTTATTCCTGTGTGCGTGTTTGGTGTGTGTGTGTGTGTGTGTGTGTGTGTGTGTGTGTGTGTGTGTGTGTGGCACGCCGCGCGCGCGCTTGTGTGTGTGTGTGTGCGTGTGTGCGTGTGTGGGTGTGCGTGTGTGTGTGTGTGTGTGTGTGTGTGTGTGTGCAAGCTTGCTTGTGTGTGTGGTGAAGTGAATGAGCTGATATTGATGAAGGGTGCCTCTCCTAGGAGATGTATGGTACAGTATGCAATCCCAGCTCTTACTCAATGATAATCAAAACGATAGTGCTGTGTGACGATAGAAATCGTTCCTAACTTCAGGGTTTGTGTGCTTGTGCAATTAAGTGTGAGTGTGAGCGTGTGTGTGTTGTATGACAGGAACTGACTACAGATGGGGTGCTTTCCTCTGCACACAATAAGCCAGCTTTACTAAGTACTTGATCCATCAAGCTGCAAAGACGGTACTTTTGTCATTTTAAAAATGGTACATAACATTGCTGAAGATTTGTCTTAAAACAAAGAACACATTCTTTGGTTTGCTTTTTTAAAAGCCAGATGTTGGTTCTGGACACAGCTGGTTTCAGCGGCTCTGTGGCCTGGAATGGGTAGAGCTCCTCAGCAAAGCTGGTTCCTGCTCTGTGCTAATGTGAAACCGTCTCCCATCGTCGTAGTCTCAATCTGTAGCATGTTCAGGTAGCACTAGTACTGTAGCATCCTATAGCCTCCTCCTCTTCGTAAAGCTTGTTGATGTCATGTCTCAGTTACAGTCTGTAGTGTCAATGAGTGAGCAAACTGTTACTACTATAGCACATTCATGTCATATTTTCATTAAGCCTCCTTCAGTAGACACACGTTAAGGTGGCACAGTGTATGTTTTGCAGAGATTTGGGATAGGCTTGACATGTTATTGAGCTCAACCTTGTCTTCTAAGAAGGTGACGGTAAAAACAGTGCCTACATCCAGTGCAGCCATGTGGGGTAGAACGCTGGTTGGTCCTCGCCTCCTTTTTTTTTTTTTTTTAATTCGTTCGAGCCACCGTGCCACAGTAGACTTCCTCCATTCATGTAACGCAGTAAACAGAGTTGTTGTGACCCCTAAAACATGCAGGCCTAATAGATATATACACAAACAACACAGGCATGTAAATTTTCAATGTCAACATCTTCTCAAATGAATTGTTCTTTGCCATCTCCGTTCTCCACCTTATAACTTCAAAAACGAGCTGATGTAGTTTTGCCAATTGTTTGCGAGTGTTTTGATTGATCAGGAAATTTTGCACTGTTGTAGATCTTTGATAGTATGTGTGACGTATGCAAGAGGAAACAGGCCATCTTCAATAGCCATAATGTTCATTATCGCCCACCTCATGAAACAGGCTTCGTAGAGTCAGATTCCCCTCCTCGCTCTAAAAAATTGCACCATGGATATGATCTCGCATTTAGTTTTATTAAATTTTAAACTGAGGAGCAGTACAGTGTATGTAAATCAGGAAGTTTGTATATAGAGAATTAATGATTGTAACTGTATGATTGTCTGTAGGGCATTATACTGAAACACATTGCTTACCTCAAGACTTGAGACAAATCTCTCCTTTCTCTCTCCTGATGTTTGTTTGGCCTCTCAGTCAGACACCATCTTTTTATGTTTCCTTGTACCTAGGCCTTCTCTCATACCAATTGGACATGTTATATAATGTATATTCAACACCTGAAGCACTACGTAATAACAAACTAACACAAAAGCTGGTCAATGTTATGTGTATTCTATTTAAAGACACATTTATAGACACTATATAGGCCCACACATGCTCTGATGCACATCTGCAGATAAAAAACAAACCCCTTTTTAAAACGACCTATAATTGGCTGATGTTTACCATGTTGAAATAAGCTGGTTTTCTTGTGGCTTCAGTGATAGTACAGTATACTTTTGCTGTGTTTAAGTGTTTGATGTCAGGAAAACACTCAGAAACAATCCTGTCTTCACAGCTACAGTCACAAGCAAACTGTTCAATATATGATTGTAAAGATATAGGCTTGATTAGCAGTCATAATACTGTGTATGCTTTGACCTTGGTATATATTCAGTATCCAAACAAGGCCTGATTTATCCTCTCATATTACCAAAAGTTATATTTTCAGCAGTTGTAATAGATCATATTCTTATGCGTTGATCATCATTTGGAATCTCCTCAGTTGTGAAACCAGAACCAAGAGAGAAAAAAAACAAAAAAAAAAAAAAACAAACAAAAAAAAACAAAACACGGGTTCTTGCGGGATGTCGTATGCTCTGAGAGGTGTGCTCTGAAGTTCTGCTTCCTACAGCAGCAGCTCGGCAAATACAATCACTTCTCTCAATATCCTGCGCTTTATATGAAGGTGTTTTACTGTTGCTGTCGTCGTCATGTCCCTCAGAGCATTTTATGACTGTACCTTGATTGTAGAAGCCCTATTTTATACTGAGAGTTATTTCAGAATACAGTATGTGCTGTTGTACATTAAATGTATTGTATGGAGAAAGCTAAATAAATGCTGTTTAAAAACTATATGTTCTTCTGTGAAATCACTGAATCCACCTTGACTTTCTAATAAATCTAATGAATAATTGTACTGGCGTGTGATGTGCCCCTTACATATATACTATTCTATACTACATAGTAATTGTACACATACAGATTTTCATAGGATACTGTTTTTCCCAGTTAGTATAAAATACAAATCTATGTACTTGACAGTTTTGTACTAACAAAAAATGATGCAAGCGCAAAAATGGACATCAGTTAAACAGAGAGGGAGAACCAAATGTTTTCCAAAAGATTTAATACTTATTTTTTGTTAGAGTTAAAAGTTTTTCTATTTGAAATAATTTAAAACACAAAATAATTTTAATTTTACAGATTAATGTTTTTGATAAACTAATTGATTGTTTCACTTTTTTTTTCTTTTACTGTCGGCAGCTCCTGCCTTTGTGTAATGCACTGTTCATGTACTATACATCAACTGCACAGAAACCAGGGGTGGTATTATGCATTTTGACATTTTTGAGTACAAAAGTACAAAAATTGCTCAGAATTACCATGTAGTTTGGAAATCAGGGCACTATGGTTTGTAGTGGGAATTCAGCTTTTCTTTTATTCAGCCACTAGAGTGCACACTTTAATAGATCCACAACTGTGAGCTGTGAGCAAACATACCACATTCTACAGGTGCCACATTATTCACATGGTGTTTATGTATTGCAGTATAGTAAAATACCCTCATGTACACAAATAATCTGTCAACGCTTTTCTATACAGTGGTAAAAGCTCAAATTTGATTTATATACTACCTTACGCTCCCAACTACTTGCCAGTACTTCCTGTGCAGTGTCAGCTAATTCCTGTGAAATTTAAACCTGATCCTTATTTGTTCTTCCTTTGGTTGTTTAGTTTTAAGTGAACCTCATGAGTTCCTCTGGTACAGCATCATTAGGGCTGAGCACCCATATTGGCACGCTGTGTAGACACTGTTTAAACTCCTAAATTACTTAGACGTAACTGAAACACAACTATAATACCGACTCATTCTAGTACAATGTTGAAATATTTGCAATTGACCAGAGGAAGGGGGACTTTGGTTGTGGGTCAACAAAGTTTGGGATGCCTCCAAAGAAATCTTGGTGCTGCGCGTTTCTACATCTGTGCTTAATCAGACTCATGGCTCCAGTCCCACAGTGCCAGATGACTGTGCTGTGGTGGACCTGCTGAATCACAGCACACACAGGATGGAAAAATATTTCAGCCAACTTTTTTTATCTCTAATCTGAGTCAAAATCACAGTTCCATAAGTTATTTTTCATAACTGCTAATAGTTTTGCGCACTGTCTGTGCTTGTATTAGCTTTATGTAACGTGCACGTAGTTTCAGTGAAGAGACAAGGCACAACTTCAGTTATACGACTCAGGAGCCCTTTAAAATGTTAATAATGCAAATGACAGAAAGCGTCATGTATCAGATCCTCCTGGAGTGTTGAGGCGTCTGGGTGCCCAGTGAGAATAAAGAGAAATGAGCAGGACGGAGTTTTATAAATCTGTTTCCATTTGTACCTAGTGAGCCTGCTGGATTACAGCATTTTTCTCTCACTCTCGCCTCCCCTCCCCCAACTCCTCTCTTTCTCTCTCTTCCTCTCTCTCTGATGTCATTGTTTCCTGCCCAGTAGATGCTGACGCTCAGCTCAAGGCTGTGTGTCCAGACCCTAAACTTAATGCATACTGCTCTGCTTATGCTGACCTATAGGAATTTACAGATACAAATAAAAGTGATGTCAGGTCCATTAAAACCCAAGTCTATAAAGTGTCCTGGTTGCTGTTATCTGCATTGCAGTTAAACCATGTGTAAGTGTGTGAGTGGCCATTGTGAACAGATGTAAGTTACTTTTAGGCCTCCAGTGCTCATGGTCACTGTCAATCTTTATCATTATCATCTGTGGTATCTTTTCTGGATTTGCTGACAGCCAAAATATGCTCAATCTTCTTAGAAGAAAGTCACCACCACTCACTCTGATATACTGTGTGAACAGAAGTCATTTGAGTGACATGGGAGGATTGGAGTTTATATCTTCATGTCCTTGATTGGTCATTTTTGCATCAGTTTGTACATACTCCCATACTTGTGCAAAGACAGAAGAAGTATTTGGATCCTTTACTCAAGTATGAGTAGCAGCACCAAGCTGTGAAAATACAATATTACAAGTTACATTCCTCCATTCAAAACTATACTAAAGTAAAAGTATGAAAGTATTAATAGCAAAATGTAAGCACTATAAGAAAAAGTACTGAGTGTTATAATGTTTATAGGATCAGTGTCAAGTGTATTCTACCTCTTACTTCACCACATTTATTTGACAGCTATAGTTACTTTACAATTCAAGATTTTACATACATAACATGACACATTGTTATAGATTAAACTTCTCAACATTATATAAAATACGTACATAAAATTAGCTTGATATTGACCAACTTCAACTGTAAAATACTACTCACACATTGATGCATCAATAACAATAATCCAGTAATATAATAGT